ACCCATTGGATAGGAGGCTGGGTGGGCCCCAGAGCCGGTCTGGACGCAGAGGCTAGAGGAAAAATCCTCTGCCCCCGTCAGGGATCGAACCCCGTTCGCCCAGTCCGTAGCTAGTCACTATACCGACTGAGCTACGCCGGCTCATATAAATAATAATAATAACCATAATAATAAATAGGATGCCCTTACCGCACTCTTTCTTCCACCGGCAAAATAAAATTGAGACAGTGAAAGCAAGTGTCAAGAATTTCTTAGTAAGTATCTCGTCTACAACACACTTCTCATACAAGCGATTCACAGCTCAGCTCTTTCCACACTGACGAAAGCGGATTGTTGACGGCAGTAATGTAAACAACAATGTCGAGTAAACAGATGACGTTTCCTAGGTAACATAACAATGCACGCAAGCTGACAATTGTTGTCCGTCCATATTTACATATTCTTTAATACAAAGAGAATTACTCAAAGATGTAATTTGGTTACATTCCATCCGAACTGTAAAAAGCATAAATTAATATTAAATATTTTCTCTATAAGAAGGAAATAAATTTAAAAGTAATGAAAAGAGGCATGAAGAAAATTTTACAATTTCATTTGCCCTTATTTAAAAATGACCGTGCCACTGCTCGGCACGCTGCAGTCAGACGCGCGCGCGATGGCTCAAATTTTAAATGTACATTCGAATTTTGAGCAATTTTTTCGCACCCTTGCACAGCGTATCAGCAGCTGAAATTTTGTGTACAATCATTACTAGATGGGCTCTGTGGACGAGCAAAAGTTTAAGTAAGGTTTCGGCATGACCAACCGGACCATTCCCTTGTAAGTCTGACGTCATATTGGGTATTTCAGTGAGTCACTTAGACGATTACGTCACCATATGCGTAAAGAAGAAACTGTGGGCTGTGGATCTTCTTTAATGTTCTGCATTACAGTCGTAGTTTATATTTGAAGGACTCGAACGAAAAGTACATTGGTCCGATAACTTTTAGGCAGGCTCCAAAAAGTTCAATCGAAATCCGTTAAATAGTTCTGGAGTGTTCAGACGGACAGACACAACCTCCTTTTATGCGTTCACTTTGTGCAAATAACTCACAACGACGGGCCGGAAACACTCACTTTACACATATGCACTATGAGATCTAATCATTTGTAACGTAATTATTTTCCTCGTTCAAAATCAAGAACAGCAACGAGACGCTCGAAACAGAACAAAACTTCAAAACCATAGTTATAATCGAAATTCCAAGTGCCATGTCTGCAGTGTTTACTCTTAAACTTATCTCTTCAGAAGTTAAGCGCTGTTAGTGACATCGCTATTTTTAACACGCAATTAACCAGACCACACCTTAATTTACCTGAATTTTTGATCGTGTTTACAGTTCAAGAAGCAGAGTAGTTATTTCAACATCTCATGTTTTACAGACGGGCATGAAAACTTCCATAACTGATTATTTTAGCTAGCAGTTTTAATTTCCGCTTCAGTACCACATGTAGGCCAATTAATTAAGCTTTTTGCACAACATTCAAAGAAAGTTTTATTCTCAGATTATGAAATGATTTTGCCTTCTACACTTCTTCCAAACCATTTACTGACCTCGTATTTATTATTTATTTAGTGTTCTGTCGGCCGACAGGTCCATATGAACAGGATCCTTCCATCCTTTTCTCGGACTGGGACCTGTTCATATACGTTCTTGGCAGATGATCCATAAGTGGTTTGCCATTGCCTTCTTCTGTGTGTGAATAGAGTAATTGTTGGGATGCCACAGAGAAACCGGGGAAGCCCCCAGAGGAAAACTCCGTGTTGCCTAGACCACGGCCTTGCCCAACACAAGTTATAAATTCGGGCACCGCCGGGAATCGAACCCGAGACCCCAGGATTACAAGGCCAGCGTTCTAACCGCTAGACCACCGTGGCGGTTGACCTCGTATACAAAACTGTAAATACGGGAAGAAGAGGGTTTTAAAAATGCTACGTAAACCAAATTATCCATGCATTTAGACCAAAGCTAACAACTATTTGTACACTTTAACTCAATGAAGAAGGTAGCTAGCCGAATAACAGATCAGAAGCAGAGAGGAAATATCACTACAAACATATAAACAGAACGTACGTACACCTGCAAATTTCTGCAACACAAAGAACTTATTAGTTGAGAATGGAAGTACGAAGATTAAACTGAAAATTTTTGCTCTGTTTATATTAGACAGTTTCTGTCACTGAAGGCCAAATTTTCAATTGTAATATGTTTAAGGGCTCCAATTGTAAAACTCAAACACATTTACATATAGCTGCATAGTTGAAGTAGTTTAATGTGAAAGATAGACACGTGAGATTTCTGTAAGTTCTCATACGTTGTAGTGTCCAATAGTCGATTAGTGATTAGCCTTCAGATAGCAATAAACAATGCGATTTTCAAACCCTGTCTATGAGAAGAGAACAATTCGCATTTAGTATGGACATCATAAATTTCATTAAACTTCCTATGGGCTTCTTAGTTCCTGACAAGGACAAGTGATAAATGCAAAAATGACTAGATACTTTTTTACACACCACACGACAGTAACTCCTGCAATTAGTATCTGACCTACCGCACACATTACAGATGACGCACCGATACGTTATAATGATGTAACCAACAAGTACTAATTTGAAGACGAACTGTTCAAATCGACTTCAATTAAGAATAGTCTCTGCACAAGGGAGTGGGTTTCTGCATAGTAACAGGCTTAGGTTTATAATCAATGGGCTGTAGCCGTCGCTGACATGAACATTTCAAATCTCATATGAGTTATAATTTCGTTACACTTGCAGAATATTAAAGCTAGTTACCGTAATTCTCCATTCTCTTCCAAATATTAAACCAAAATACATATTCTTCTTTTAATAAAGTCTACTTATACAAAACTGAACATTCAATGACGAAAAAATTGTCAGTGGAACCACGGTTCCGGATAATTTGACGCAAATACGTCTATACGGAAAGGAAGTTTATATATCGGCTTTATTCTAAATATTTCCTTTATATATGCTTTACAATTGAGTAAAGTTTGATTAAGACTTTGCTTATTTAACTTGAATTAGTTACGCCTATGATGGGTCTGTGGTAGATGAATGTAATGTAAAGTAATGTATTGTAATGTAATGTAATGTAAGGTAAGGTAATGTAATGTATTTTAATGTAATGTAATGTAACGTTTCCTAGGTAACAACAATGCCGAGTAAACAGATGACGTTTCCTAGGTAACAACAATGCCGAGTAAACAGATGACTTTTCCTAGGTAACCATTGTTATCGGATCTTACAGATTTTCGTTTCCCTTTTTCGTTACACTTTTGACCCTTCCTTATAGACGTATTTACGTCAAAAAACTGTACTGTACATTCTAAAAATATAGCAACTCCATAAACACCCATAGTAGTCCAGCTTTCCATAATAAAATAACAAACAAGGTAACAAAAACAATAAGAATTCCTGTTCATCATTAAACAATATTTAATTCACAGCCCACTTTACCATTGTCACAAATAACCAAACACATATTCTTCGTCTGTACATTTAAAACGCATTGCAGTTCTATTAACTTGAACTGATAGCAAAATAAATTACTACCTCTGGTTTAATTTAGGTACGATTGGGGCAAAGAGTGTTAAAAGGACTCAATTATGAAGACTGTTACACAACAAGACAGGAACTGGTAAACGCAATAACAAAAGTACAATGGCGTCCTCCCATGAAGTAATACAAGAATTTTTAAATGCGTTCTTTCTTATGTATTATACATAATTTGTCTTAACGTGTACTTATTATATATAAATATAATAACTGTAAATATGAATCTATTGTTCCAAGTGTAATCAATAATCATATTTGAGATATTGCACAGTCCGAAATTATTTTTCCTTATTTCGATAAATGTCAACCACACCGAAAAATGTTTTAAATCAACCATTCTCAATAAAATATCACGTACATCTTTCGAGATAGCTAATAAAATATAATTAGAACTTCATAAGAAGTAGGGGATTATGTTAGACCGACAAAGACCAAAATTAAATTAACCCGACAAAGTTTGGTGTAGGCTATCAGTATCAAGTTTAATCGAAATTCGTTCAGAATTTTGAGGACGAACATGACCTCCCCTTACATCTGTTCAATTTCAGCAAAGAACACATCATAAATGCTATTTTATTCAAGCCAAAGAAACAATGCTATACAGAGACAAATTCACTAGAAACATTAGTTTTCTGTTCTGCCCCTAACGTTTAAAATTTCACTTCAGGAGCAGCGAAGTTTGGAATCCGTACGCGAATAACTTTCAGGCTTTGAAGATGATTAAAGTTAATCGTACTGATGTAGCATTTTTTCTCGAATTCGGTCATATTTCCAACGGAAACCGAAATCAGACAAAACTAATTGTCGTTCGGTAAAAGGTTATTCCAGAATTATATTGTTATCTAAGGTTCCATTCAGATTTGTAATTTACGTAGGATGTTGAAACATTTTTTTAAACCACAGACACATACAGTACCTTGAAAGTGCTGATCTCTGTCTGAGTCTATCCCATTTTAAACAATTTCGTCACCCATTACTTTTCAAGAGTGGAACATGGCAACCGAGTACTGCGACTGTTCTGCGCGCAACCATCGATCGCATCGACCGTCAGAAAGGGACGTCGATGCAAAGATAGAATGAAGAGTTAGGAGTTTCAGGCACCACACAATCAAAGTGAAATTTAATAAGCCATAATCAGTCTTCAATAGATCATCTAATTCGTAAAAGTTATTTAAATATTCATAATATTACCTTAATATGTTACTTCCTCTTCACAGTTACACCAATCAAACACTTTCAGAACTGAGCTACCACTGTTTATTATAATGCAAAGTCAAAATACAAAATAAAGATGTAACGCAGAGTCGGCTACGATTCGTATGTCTTCTTTAGTAAACAAAAATACTTCCCATTTTAAAGTTCTACATCAAACGACAACTGGAACAGCTAGCGCGGTTACAACCTGATAATTTTGCCACTAACCGAACCTTCCGACAAGAGCTATAATCGCCCGACTGAGATACTGGAGGTGTGAGCGCGCACGGCACCTATAATACATACGTAACGCGATCGTGTTTGCCACTCCCCCAACAAATACAAATCCTTGAACCACGAATCTCTTGCGCAGGTTCGTGCGTATTTGCATTGTCGAAGTTACAACAAGCAAAATATTCCAGCAACATTGACGGGCTGTACAGAACTAGAACGAGCTGATTGCCTCTCTAAATTCAATTCAATTATTAAAGTACTTGACAACAGCCAAAAAATATAACAATTCTAATGCAAAGCATGATTCTTTTTAATTAAATGGGCACGTACGTTGAAATTATGCGTTTTTGCGGAACGTTGTATTTTATGTTTCGATATTTTATTGTTGTGATAAAAAACAAGCGGAATACATAATTCATTGTCTTAGTAATGTTTAGCGATCTTGCGATTTATGGCTCATCAAATGCAAGGCCCAAAAAGACGGAAATTCATCAGCCAAAACCTTAACACAGAGCTCTAAAAAACATAAAAGGAAGATAATTTTTACGAGTGTGCCAATGTCAAAGATGTATACAGTCCTATTTTATACATTTTTTTATAAGACTGAACATGTGTTTAAAACGTGCTGCCATACTGAATCACTGAATTTTGTACTCTGTTATTAAAATTTAAATTGACATAAAAAAGAAAATGTCATACTCAAGGAAATTATTTTTATAATTCTTAGGAAAACAATTACAGTTATGTGTGTACATATCTCATACATATAGTCATGAAATATTTTTTTAATTTGAACATATAATTTATTGTATTTTCCTAATAAGTGACAATATGTATTCATTCCATTCCACATAATATTATTACATCTTAATGTACAAATAGGAGCAGCAAGGCCAAATGAGGATGAATTCTTGAAGACCTCTTTTAACAGACTGTCAAACAGTCCCTCAACAATCTGTACTTGGTCCTCTACTTTTCATTTTTATATATATATATATATTAATGATAATCCAAGAATAAAAAGAGAAAAGGCAATTATGTGTGCAGAGGATGCACCAATTTTAAATTTGAGTATAAGTAGTCAGCTAGAAACAGCTGCATCTACCAAAACAAAGTGAATAAAAGAGCACTTTCAATCAATTTACACATCATGAGATTTGAGATTCTCACGGTGGTGAAAATGTTGATTCTGTTTTCAGTTGCAACACCACGTGGACTTGTAGTTAAGTAACAATGTTATGGTGAAGATGGAGACGGTATGTTTCTCTGAAACATTAATATCTACCTACCAGTCCACACAGCACCACAACCTGAAGGACATTGAAATCTACATGTTGAAGCATGTTCACAACAGCCCACCAAATCAGTACAGCAAGACATCAGGAAATATTTCACATTTTCACTGCTATGGATACCTGAAATCCCATACAATGGGCATGACCACTCCTATAAGCATTCATGAACACCATAAAAAGTATACAAAGAAATACCACATATAGCAGAAATTTGTTATGATAACCTGATAAGGTTATAGCATTTTACCCTTTAACGAATCACACACTACTTACCGATGCTATATCAACTTTAGATGTTATGTAGCACCGAAGGAGATACACATTAAGTAGGTGGAAATTTGGAAGGCAATGATCATGGCCTATTTTAAAATAAGGTGCCAGCATTTTCCTGGAACAATAGAGAAAATCTGTTAAGGTAGTCAGTTCCAATCACAATCTGAAATTCAAATTGGGTACCTCCCAAATATAATGTAGAGTACAAATACTTTGGCATTTATTTTGAACAATGTTGTATCAAACACTAGAATTTATTTCAGTGGTTGCCAATAAACAAAGCACCTATTTTATTTCTTCTGCATACAGAAACATGATCTATCACACAACAACAATGCATTTGGCAATATGAAAGTGAAACATGCCATTTTGTCTGTGGCACAGGGACGTAAGTAGTCACTACTGGTTCAGTTGTACATTCAGATAAAATTGCAGTAAACAGTTTAATATTATTTGTTGCTCAACTCTGTCCACCGTTTAGGCATAACGTCTTGTTCTACTGTCGACTGATTTGACAAAACCAAATTGCAGATGGAACTCTCTTTTACTTGAAGATTTCTGTCTTCTGGGTTGTTGTGCTGTGTAGTCTGGTCGATGTTTACCAACATTTCAGAGGTCATACTGCCTCCATCATCATTACTTGTCTTTCGAATCCCATGAAGCTGCATCAGTCATTTCTCTGCACTGAGCACATTAAAATATTGGTGTATGTACCACATCCAACACACTGCAGTATTTTTCTCAAACGTGTATAATTCTTTCACTACTTTAACTGTCTCAGCTGTGAATATTATGCATTTACTCTTGCAATCAGATAAAGCTTTCAAACATATATGTTTCCACTATAGTCTGCCTCATCGTTATGTCATTCTGAATTACGATGCAGCTCTTACGTTGCACAAAGTTTAATGCATTTCTGTACTGCTCCAGTTCTGCTTACTATTTTGGCATTTTCATTCATCTGCAACCACATTATACAACGTACAAAGCAAAGTTTGCTTGCAGTATATCAAAAAAAGTGCAACTGCAACAGAAGCGTGGAAAAACACTTAAAGCACCAAGGAACAGGAAAAGGCATCAATGGTCATGAAAGTCTCAGATCTGCAATAAACTACAAGAGGAATTCATATAACAAGCAGCTGTCTCAAGAAAAATCACATCTGTAACAAAGAAAAAAAGAGCTTGAAATTCAATATCATTTTAATTTCATCAGCTATATATGGTGTAAGAGTAAAACAGAAAGTACCATGTTGACATAATAAATATTCCTAAACAGTTTCTTTAACACAATAACTGAGTTCTGAATAAAACTGCAAATACCATACCAACATGTAATTCTTGGGAATTACAATTTTCAGGTAATTACATTTCTAATTAATTTGTAAGTAAAAACACAACTCAACTTTCAACACAGAAACTTAAGGTCACAAACTGTAATTGATACAAAATACTCCCTAACACAATGATCAGCCTTTGTTTCATGTTTCTTAAAATTATAATTACAGCTAGTCGCCATCTGAGCCTTTGGAAATCAGTTAAAATTATTATACATACAGTGGCACTAACAACAATAATAATAATAATAATAATGCACAACAAAATTCTTACATACAGAAAACTTTATACTAAATTTGCATTTTTAGAAATTATTTATCTAAAAATTGTAAGACAAAAAGCAATGCATATCCTTCTAAATATCACAACTTTACTAAATAATACATTTGTTCACTATAAAAAGCAATTCATTTACTGGCATGCCAATGATGATAAATGCTGGTAAGATCATTATTTCATTGGCTTTTTAAACTTTCCGCAAAGTCCGAAAGTTATACTGCAATGAAATACTCTACACAATATAATATTTCTTGCACTGCATGATATTCAGAAAAGCTTTCAGGTAAATTTAATTACAATAATTATATAGTACAGTCCTTAGTATATGCCGTGTACATATTCTTTTGGTATATCTATAAATATTAAATACCTGAACTGTAGTTACACCTCATGTTTTCTGTTGTATAATGCAGAAAAACATATTTCCTTCAGCATAGATAAAAGGGAATTACATTACATTGTCTTATGAAACAAATATATGTAAATCACAACATGTAATCTTTACAACACCTGCGACTTCTTGACTGGCTTCTATTATCATCCACTTCTATCTAATGTGTTGAAATTAACACACAATTCATAGCATTTTACACCACGGAAGTGCATTTCTGTGTATTTATTACAAGAGTGGTATGGACTGCATTTCTATCACTCATCTGTTAAATATGATGCATAAAAGGTGAAATATATATAATTTTCATATAATTAAAATAGATATCTTATGAATGCACTTAATGTGTCTGAAAAAACTGTCATAATATAACAAAGATCCAGAAGAGTAGCGAAAGGATGGAAAGATGCACAAGAGAATGTCACCTAGATTTACATAAAGCACATATAATTTTAATTTATTTTCATACCCATCCACAATTTAAAATACATCTGTCTGCAAGAAAAATGCTTATAAAGTACTTTTAAAACATACCACATGATATCACATTTACCTTCCCTCCCTCCCATCAATATTTTTCTCTTAAAAGTTTTGGTATGTGCCTAATGTTCCATAATGTCCAAACAAAATGATGCAGATGGAGGTTACGACCACAACATACTGTGAAGAAAATGGTCAGTAAATTTGAGATACTATTTCAGTAATTGGAAATCCCAAGAATCGTGCTTCAAGTGAAAATAATCCTGGAACTTTCAACTGTACAGCATACTTTCACAATTTACAACAAGTACGAGTTCTACTACAATATGTGCATAGAGAACAGCACATTATTCAAACAAAAGTGGTTATGATCAGTTTCTATATGGTTCAATGATAATTACAATTACCATCACTGGTTTCCTGTAAATTTCTCAATCCCCTACTATTCTGAAAAGAACACAATATTTTGGAAACTGGAAGTTTCCATCCTCTGTTGAAAAGTTGGGCAGTATGTACTCAGTTGGGTCCATTAGAAAGAACTAACTTCCGTCACTACACCTAGCACCTTCTAGCAAACCGAACTGGGTAGGTACTACCAACCTTTCCACCTGATGATAGAAAAAAATACAATACCCAAAACGTTGTGTTATGATCGGAATTGTAGACAATGGACAAAGAATGGATATCAAGCAATAGTAATTGTATATCTGACGTAATCCTTCAACACTATATGGTGATAATGGAGATTTCTGAAACATGTTTGAACATGAAGTTTCAATACTGGGTTCTACAAATTTGTGTGGAGGTAAATTTTTTATAATTTAATAAGCTTTTAAAAACCCAGAACATCCTGTCTAAAAAAGTTAATTTTAAACACCAACATCACGAACATTTCTACTTAGTTAATGTTTTACAGGGTAATCAGAAAAGTTAATTTAGGCCTTCAAGTACAGTGAATGTCTTATTTGGATAATATAACAAATATTCATATGTTATTGTTAAGTTTCATTAAAGGAACCCAGTATAAAATTCTGACAAGTTCTGAATAAAGTTTCAAGAGGCAAAAGATGACAAAGTGTTTTTGTTTCATAAAGGATTTGAGACTGATTGCCCGAGAAGATTTTATTGATTGTTTTTTATGTCAGAATATAACAGAAAAAGGAAACCACAAATAACATTAATTAATTTATTAAAATTCTGAGCTGGAAAGAATTTAAGTAATATTAATGTAATTTTTAATCAAAGAGGATGCAAAAGCACACACACATTTCTATAGGATAAATAACAGTTTTAATTCAGAAGCTGCTGAGGACCATTCACAGACTGCAAAAAATAGAAGTTCATAAAATCTTAGCTTAAATTAACTACATCTTTAAAAAATTACTTGTCAGGAGCATGATAAAATTTTAAAACATGTATCACAACTAAGGAGTGATTATATAAGGCTGAACTACATCAACCACTAGAAATACTGTTTCCTACACTACTTCAAAAAGAAAGTCGAAGTAAAGACCACACAACTGCAAAGCATTTTCAATAGATTAATATGCAACAAAAATGATGCCATTTGATTAAAATAGTATTCTAAATTATATACTAGTTACTCAATATGCCACTGTCTAAGGAAACAACCTTATAACAAGACATTCTTGTGACACTTTTGCTTCAGATTGCTCAACAACTTATAATGTCCTAATGTAAACACACAGTTTTAAAAAAAAGTGTTTCACCCAAATCAGGGAGTAGAATTTCCACTGCAATGTATAAGTAACAATGAGAAGAATTCTGGTGGGAGACCTCATGTAATATTACAACCTGGAAGACCAAGAAGAGGATGGAAGGTACATAGTGTAGATGGATGGAACCTAGTCAGGATTGTGTCCAATGTTACAATTCGTTTTAGCAGTGTTGAGCTTCAGGTTCTGCTACCAGACTGCAGGTACATGTGAAACAGACAGAGGATAAGAAAGGGGGCCTGTGTGGCAGAAGACTAACAGTTAATAATCATGGACAAAACTACATCAGACTCATTTAGTATCCTAAACATGTACACAAATATTTGGTTCTCACATTTTGTGTCTGGTACACCTTTCTGCTCTCAACTAGGTAAGATTTTTTCCTTTCATCTACCTTGTTGAAATTTTACATGAAACACAAAACCCTGTAGTGTCAGCAAAAAGCATAAAGTTGGTTGTGCAGAACACGTTAATAGAAGAGCAGGGGGGGGGTTACAAAACAACCACCATTACAAGAAAAGCAAAATTTTTCAGGTCCCAACCACTTAATTACTTTTCTGTTCAAGTGTCTGAACTTTTCTTATGTAGGCAATTGCTCTTAACATGCTTCTGTTCAAGGTCATGAATGACAATATTAATCCTATGGTCCATGACCTTTTTTAAATCACATTCAGCCACTAATGTCATTGGTCCATTGTGAAAGGATTATATATTCCAATTTGCACTGAAGCCAGGGAATAAATAAATGTACACAAAGAAATTTTGAATGTGATAAGTGATTTCATCCTTCTGCCAATGGTCATCTTACTTATTTCAGTAAAAAAATTGATGCAGTATGGGACTAGTAATATAACTGTTTTATTTCTTGCTAAAATAATACTAATTTACAGCAAAACTAACACAGATGTGAAACATAACGTTGTATACTATAATTTTGATTGGATAATTATAATGGCATTAATAAATAAAGTATTGCTGAAGGTATATGAAATGAACAGGGCATAATTATTACACAACCATATTATGTTATCAGTTTTACATTTAAAAAACTAAATTCAGAATAGGGCTGCCAAGTTCTCTGCCAAACCTGAATTATATCATGCTCATTCAGAATTTGATAGATTACAACATATACCTACACTATGAACTGATAACAAATTCAATTAAATTACAACTAACTTCAGGCCCATGTTAACTCTATATCAAGCCAGTTAGACAGTTCTGACTCAGTCTCATGCAATCCTTCAGGTATGCAAGTTAATAATAATTTTGTTTCTTATATAATCAAATCTGAGTGAACAAGCTGAACTGCTGTCTAGTTAAGTTATATCAGCTTAGCAATCACCAAGCTTCTTACTAATGAGCAACAGTTCCGCAAATGGTAAAACCTGATTTCAAGGCATCTGTTTACTGAAAACAATTCTAGATAATAGTTCATTTATGTATGATGAATGGTATCAGTTTGTGATACAGTCTACAGCAATATGCAAGTCACTGTTTGCTTAGAAGACTATGACCATCAGTTGGTGTCACCGCATGGTATACAAGAATTGAACATTTGTAAATATCAAAGTTTGTGTTTACCAGACAGCAGACATCTGTGGCACCATTAATGTATGAATAATTCCTAAAATATATGCCGTGTGTATATTACTTTAACAATATATTAAACATACCAAATTCATGGAAACTTATTTCTGTGTCAGTATTATTAGTTGTGAAATGGGTTGTTTTGAATAAAAGCATCCTATTACAAATGAGCAGAATATTTAGCACTAAAGTGGAAATAGTTGGTAAATAAACATTTAGTATCAATTTTTACTAATGAAAACATGACTGTTCAGAAAATGTTTGAAATACACGAAAGAAACAACCAAGATTTCAGAGATACATTAGGTTTAATTACCTCGTGAACTTGTGTAAATACCCACTTCATTTCAAAAAGATGCTGACATTTACTCTTCTGGATCCATCCATTAATTTGTAGTTTTGTAACACAGAAGAAACTAAAGACTGGATCAGTGCAATCTGGCTTTGGTTCTGCAGAACCAAGCCAACCATGTGCCGTGTTTGCACCATTCTACCACATCATTTTTCGGAATGTGCCCACCTTGCTCTGTACTGTTCTGCTTACATTGGGCCCTCGATTAGGCTCACCTTCATTGTACAATAATAGACACTTCGAGCAAAAGCCAATAGTGCCAACAAGAATGCACCTACAAATAGAAGAAAGAACATATTTATTATATCTCCTATAATATTTATTTCTTCATTTAAATAAAAGAACCTGCTGGGATCATTTACAGCCAAAAATGGGTTAAAAATGACATTTTCCTGTTACTTTAACCTTGGAACTATATCAAGATGAGTGGTCAGCTTCTTGCTCTAACTGATAGCCCCTGGTATCCACTCAAGAGGCGGTTGGGCAGGCCCCAAGTCAGGCATGGTGTCAAAGAAATAAATTGTTTGCCCTGACAGGAACAAAACCGAATTCTCCATCCTACAGTCAGTCACTATTAATCAGGCTACACTGGCTCAACATTAGAATCTGAGGGAATCAATATTCAGGTAAAATTTAATTCCAAAGGACACACACATGTATTTTATATTAAACATATATTTTAATATGTTGCTGTCAAACATAATTTTACATATTCTTTCATCCCATCCCCAACTGTTCAGTCTATTGCTACAACTGCCATTTGGTGCTTCTTTACATTGGTTATAAAGATGTTTTCAGCACACATTACAGACCAACGCTTAGGTTTGTTTGTTCAAATCACATTCATGCTACAGACATATAGAAATTGTCTCACTTCACATTTCCAAAATTCACTTGGTTAAAATGCAAAATAGTTCAAAATACATTTAATGCATGAAACATTACTTACCAACATACGCTACATAGATACCACCATTTCTGCGGGCAAATTGGTATGTGCCAACCTGAAAATGTGTCACAGTTATAAAATTACTTCCTGTTACTGGTAAAATAAATTTACCTGATGGGTTATGGTTCAGAAAAACGTTACACTTTTTTCCTGTAAAATCCAAAATACAGGAAAATAAAAATACTTGTGTATAATATGTAATTGGGAATGACAGTTCTGACAATAGTGAGAATATTAATAACAATAAGGAATAATGGAAACACAACTATTAAAGAATCAGGAAAAAAGAACAATTATGGAGAAACAGAATAATTAGGAATACAAGACTGTCATAACATGTATTTGCAAGTACAGCTTGCAAACATGAAAAATTAACAAAAGAAATTAATCCAGGCTCAGTTACAAAACTCTTCAGTGAATGGTACCAGATTATAACTTCCTGAAGATACAGACAACAATCAGCTGATAACAGAAAGGGAAGGATAAAATACTGTGCTTATATAGAATTAATGGTAACATTATCATCAAATGTATATTACAATATAGCAGTTATGACTTCATCCTTGGATTATTTATCACCTGCATTTGAAATTAGTCTAATATTGTATAAATATACAAAAATTATCAATGTGTTTACTCAAACCTTGCTATTCCTATTTAAGAGAGTGGAAGTATCCATACAAAACAACAGGGGTGAGAATTACATTATTCTAACAAGCAAATATTAGATCTTCAAATAAACTACCATTTCAAATTCTGGAATATGTAACATTATCATTTTAATGCCGTATTACATAAGACAACTGTATAGCACAATGCAGAAATTAAGCTGGAAAAAGCAGGGACCAAACAACTTTCTGCACATGGGTCCAAAAAACAGTTTAATTTCCCACTTATAAATTTCATGTGTCACAAAGTGTGATAATGAAGATGGCTATTTTCTAGATTTAGTGGCATGTAATCTGGTAGGTACAATGCAGAAGACAATCATCTTCATAACTGCTGCCATCAGAATATAAAATCCTACACAGTATTATCATTTATGGGTAGTAAATGTCTCTAAATAATAACTGTATGTAAACTGGATCCTCTGAAAGAAATAAGCAGTGACCAAGATTAATTCCCAGATTATGATGGATAACACCAGATGTACTGAACTTGTTTGATGCTACATAGTCAGAGTTACTGTTGGTATTTTAAAAGACAGTGAAAATGGTCTGCAATAATAAGATACTAAAGTAGTGGTACAGATATAGTGAATGTTTCCCTTTTAAATACATGCGAACAAAATGGGTAGCTGATCATGTATGATATGAAGGAATGTATCTGAAGATGGCCTTGGCTTATTTCAAGATATTAACAAAGCATTTGACTGGAAAGACAGAGTAAAACCATGAACCTACCAGAATAACTAAAAATCATGCAGAGATTTGGACTATGCAACTCATAAATACAATTAGAATATCACCATTGTACCAACACATGCACACAAAAACAGATAACTAAATCTGTCTTCACATCAAAATAAGAATTCAATACCCAATATGTCTTCTTAAAACAATATAAGCACATTCCCAGCGATAAAACTTTTCAGCAAACATACCGTTACTCCAATTCCAACAGCCAGGAAGATAACACCAATAATGATGAACATTATTCCTCTGCTACGTGCAAAATCAGGTCCAACAGAAGAACTGAAATCAACATAAATGCATGATTTGAACTGAGAACTCATTAAAAAACCAACAACAAACAAATAAATCAAATACTTACACCTTCCTGCAGTGTGGACATCTGGCTAGTGCATTATTCAATGTGTTAAACTGCAAATGCAAACAGAAGTTAGAATTATGACACATTTTTAATCCAAATCTTGTTTGTATAAAGTTGTTACTTCACTTCTCTTACCAAAAATGTGTCATGGCAATGTGCACAGGCCACACGACACATTCCAGGTAGTGTCGGCACAGGTGGAGTAACAGGACTTGGGGCAAGATTTATTATCCGCTTGCAATTGGGCCGTGGACAAGCAATTCTCTGCGACGAGCTCTTACAAATCAGCAAACAATTGCATGGGCACCGCACATACTTTTTCCCTGGAGGAGCATTGCGTATGGGCTGATAATTACAAAACAATACATTAGATAGACAGAATATAACGTACCTTTCAAAACAAAGGATCCAAATAAATGTGCACTACACTTACAGTGGCTTCATTGCACTGCCCACATTTAACGACATGCTGGTCACGTTTACCAGATATATCAATCATGGCCTGACAAACTCTGCATGTTACCATGGGCACACCACCCTGGGTTGCTGCAGTGTATGGTGGTGGCAATTCATCAGGGCCAATTGGAGATACTGTCGCTTGCTGCCCTGCTTCATAAAATGAGCATTTTACATTACAGAACATCTAACTAAACAACACTGGTGTCAGCATTACTTCATACGACAAACAAAAGACAGAGTCATGTGATCACAAACTATTAATATTATTATTTGTGCATGTCAAAAATATCTCACGACCAATGTTTCACATACACAATGTAGTCAAACATACCTGGGATAAAACCGCCCGCAAGTCGGGTGTATACAGTACTATTGTCATTTTGGAGTAAAGGCTGCCTCTCACCGTCACCCATATTTGATGACAGCACTCGAAGTGAAGTCAACGGTTATCAGACAGATAATTATCTGTAGCGATCTGAAATGTCGACAGACGTTGCTGCCAACCTTACAAACTACACTAATCACAAGAACATCCACATAGCAGCAGTGAAAATAGTAATAGAAATTAATATGCCTTCATTCTAATCATGTACTCTGAAACTCACGTAAATTATACGTTTAGCTTGACCTACGTGGTTGCATGCGAGCGCCTTGAAATGAGGATATCTAGCTCATTCTTGATAGAAGAGAAAACAAAGTAAAGGCATTAAATCGTATTCTTGTATCGACAACAACCTTTCACCTTACCAACGTTTTATGTTACGAAAACAACAAAAACTTCGGAATTTTATGAATTAGTTAGTATCGATATCAGCCACATCCGGTGTGTTTACCAGCTGAATTTAAGCATACGTATTACTAGGCGGAGGAAAAGAATCTAAGAAGGATTCCCTCAATAGCGAGCTCAGGTAGATGTCGTTTACGGGAGGTCCCATTCTCCCAAGGCGTGGTCCCGCGAGTCCAAATCTCCCTTGAACGGGGCCACTTCCCACAGAGGGTGCCAGGCCCGTAGGACCGCGGCCGCTCCCGGTTAGGGACTCTCCTCAGAGTCGTGTCCCATGGCAGTGGAGCACCAAGAGGGTGGTAAACTCCATCTAAGGATAAATATGACCACGAGACCGATAGCGAACAAATACCGTGAGAGAAAGTTGAGAAGCCGCTGCTTATAGGTGGATATTTGTCTATGTGTGTGATATACACTCCCCTGCTCTTGACGCCTGTATTTTTAAGTGTTGTCACTAAGATGAAGATGCTGTATTGGGTCTGACTTCTTGAAAGCAAACCATTTACCATCCAGACACTCTAAATATATGGATTTAATACTTACCAATAAAAACATACCTCTCACCAATTCTTTCTTCTTTTGAAGATATTTACACTTTCCATGGGCTGTCTGATTATTCTTTGAAAGTGTTTGTACCTTTCTCAAATACTTCTGCTGGGATTACTGTGTCAATGATGCATCTAATCCAATGGTGCTCAAATGGTGTGCCACAAGGCTTTGAATAGAATGATTATATAAAATGAAATATGCAAATAAAAATATGTTAACATCATATTATTATCCACAGTAAATTACAGTTTTTGCAATTAATTTAGCATCATCATATTTGTTTTATGATAAATTTCTATTTTTTACAAAAAATGACCACTTGAAATAAGGTGAATCTTACTATACCCAAAGTGTGCTGCAAGCACCAGATGGGTGTGAACCACTTATCTAATGTATGACTTGAAGCAGTTTAAAAAGTAACGCCTGTTGCTGCACATATCGAGACAGTCTAACTAGTAGTGAGGTGTCTGTGTATCAGGATGATCTCCACCAGGAATGTGATCTCTACATTTCTTGAGACACTCTAACTATGAATATGGTACCCATGTACTTCTTTGGGCAATCTGAACAGCAATGTGGGGTGTATTTTCAAAGTACATTCCCTTAGAAATTTGGGGATATAATAATTTCTGGGGTTGATTTCACTAAGAATGTAGTACTCACATGTATCTAGAGACCATCTCTCAAGAAAACCAACATTTATTTCTCAACACTACCAAAAAGAATGTTGCATGCATATTTCTCAATATAACTGAACCATGAATGCAGGACAATGTATTTTTGACGTAAATATGTCTATATGGAAGGGTCATTCCGCAAAAAAGTATTAGGAAAAAGTGACAGAAAAATGTGTAAGAACCGTATCAACAAATCGACAACAATGTGTAAATATGGACCGACAACAATGGTCAGCTTGCGTGCATTGTTATGTTACCTAGGAAACGTCATCTGTTTACTCGGCATTGTTGTGTTACATTAAAGCCGTCAACAATCCACTTTCGTAACAAGATGGATGACATTGAAGATAACATTACATTACATTACTTTACATTAAATTACATTACATTACAGAGACGTAAATATAATTTAAATACAGAGACGTATTTATGTCAAATTCTCCGGAACCGTGGTTCCACTGTAACTTTTTGTGACATCACTAGGAATGCATGGCCCATGCCTTTCAAATGGGAATGTAACTAGGAATACATTACCTATGCAGTTCTCTGGACAGTTTCACTTGGAGGTAAGGTCTTTGTATTTATCTGTGTCTTTCTGGGGACACTCCTGATATTAATACTGTATTAAATTTAGCTTTGGTGAAACTAACTGAAAAGGTTCCATAATTATAAGGACCATTTTGCACCTGAAATGCTATTAGTTCTACCATTAATTTACTAGGCAAAGTGAAGTATTCATATCACAAAGATGGGGTGGGTTGGTAGCATGTGGCTAGCTGTCCCCAAGTGTCCTCTCAATGACATTGGCTCCTGAAGGTATGATGTCTTGTCTTGACTCAACTGTTCTAAAGTAACCAACACAAAGGTGGGTGACACATAGAAAGAGATACAAATTGTGATGCCCTTGCTAATAATTCTTTGTACACTTCTAATGCTTCAGCAGTACATTCACATAGTATACTATAAAAACAGCATTTCCATGTAACTCAAACATCGCTACTGCGTTAGTGTACAGCAAGTGACTAAGGCTGATTGGCTCACGTGGACATGTTGCAGTATGTGTTTGACACTCAGCTGCAGTCATTTGCTTCACATTTTTGCATGGCAAGTCTCAAGTGCAGTGACCAGCTACTTTCTTAAGTAATAAAATGAATTTAAAACCAGATTTAAGGTGCCATCAGGGTTCCAACGCTCTGTTAATCTCTTCATACTTGAGCAAGACAATTACATGCAGGAACATCCCACCCATCTCTCTTTGGTTTTTCACTTAGCTTGACAATTAAGCTTAAGAAATTAAATTAATAAAAGCCAAAATTGACTTTGGTAATGGATGCTGAACTGGAGTATGGTATAATACAAAATCTGTGTTTCTGCATAGTAGTATACTGAATGCTGTTCCACAGCTTCTGACGGAGAACTGTGATCTTCAATATGCTCTACATTTCCAATGGATTTTTTCTACTATATCTTAATGCTTGTATTTTATTGGAATTATGTTCTTTTTCTTAAATTCAGTTCATGGATTTGCTACAGATATCATACTAAAGTACTGTCCTGTCATGAGAAAATCCAATCCAATTCAGAACTCCAAATTTTATCTTCCATTACATGTCATTAGTTAGAGACCCTACAGCACCAATAGCATAATTAGTTTTGGTATTATTTTGCACACCAAATGAGCTATATTAAATTAATATTATTGCTGTGTGTGGGAATCCAGAAACTGTTAACACTTAACATTATGAAAATGTATGATGTAGTTACAATATTTTTTTTCATGCCATGAAAATTGGTTTCAGATAAAAATTATTTTATGGGTATCCCAAGGCTGTGTTTTCATAAGGTTATAAGGAAAGTTTCCTTCTACAATTAATTAGAAACATGCAAAAAGAATGGAAAACAACAAATACCAAAACAGTTTATAGCACATAAGTTTAGGGGGAAGATAAGTTCATGAAATCAATGAAGAGCTGGCATGCCTAATAACTGACGGGATAATTCCTTCCACAATGGGTGACTTTGAAAATGAATACATAAATTTGGAAGTTAGATAACCTTTACAGGCAGGTAAAAAAGTTACAAAATTTGTAAAATAAATGTTACCTGTAATTTAAAGTTTTAAGCAGTATACTTGTATTAATAGCTTTCACAGAGGAGATAGCAGCATGTGGACACACTCATATATTATTACATAACAAATAACTATAAAACATATTGAATTTAATGTAAAAGTGAATTATGTTAAACACAAAATGATACTTACTTTGATACTTTGACGACCCGTTCTTCAAGTGCCTGAGCACTGCAGGTCCCAACTTTTTCGTTGGCTTTGATCTATGGACATTTCTTAGGACTCCTTGGATGAGGGATCGGTCCGTCGCAAGGCCTCTACCTGTACACAGGACAGCACAACACAGAAAACTGCGGACAGGCATCCATGGCTTGAGTAGGATTTGAACTCACGGTCCCAGTGACCAAGCGGCACAAGGTCCACGCCTCAGACCGCGCGGCCACTGTGACCCCTAAACACAAAATAATGTAATAAAAATTAGATTACTTTCCTTCTATTTGTTCTTTCTACTCCTTCCACCCATTGCAAACATTATTGAACTGCATATGACATCTCTTGAATACACTGTATTCTAACATCTAAGTTGCCTAACATGTAATGTATGGATCTACATAACAAATTACACACAACAAACAAAAGTTCATTCTGAAACTGGTGTTTCAGCATTTCAAGAACCAGAAGACCGGCACATAACTGTGTATGTATTGAAATACAGAAAATATTCTAAGAATGCATTCATAAAAGAAATAGTCAAATCAGCTTCAACTACAACAATCTACTTTAAGTATTAAGCATTAGTTATTAAGTATTAGTTGGGGACCCGTAAAAGGGTACCGGAAAATGTATAAATATTGTTAAACTGGAAAAAGAAGAAGTATTAAGCTTGGTGTAAATGCTGTTAACAGAACATTTCTGACCAGTGAAACAGCAATTAGTGGCCTTGAGGACTGGGCTCACATTATACAGTACAAATAACAGTCTACAAATCTAATTATTACTAGCATACATGTCTGTTGCCCTCAGTGGACTAGTGGTTAGCGTGCTTGCCACTGGACCCAAGGTTCGCAGGTTGAAACCCAGCCGAGGTCAATGGATTTTTAAGGGGTGATAAATATCCGTAGCACAACTTCCTTCGGAGGGAAAGTAAAGCATTTGTAAGCAAAATTCAGCAGCCATTTCTCAACCAAGTCTCCTCATTCACTGCTAGATGGTTCTAGCAGTCAAATCAGGATTGAATAGAAATTTTGCAGAGTCAGTGGGGTGGCCACTCATTACTCACAAATGCACACTTTAAAGACTAGAAAACCTCAGAAAAAGGAGGTGGCAAAGACCCACAACTGGGTTGTAGAGCCAAGGAAGAACAAGAACCTAAACATGTTTAGTTAAAATAAGAGATTTATAAACTTTACGTATTATTGAAATCAAATAGATGCCATAATTACCCAACAACGAAATGAAGTATATCTATCCTCCAAAGATCTGACTGAACCTAAGATTTTGCATTCTTTCCCTCATCACTCAGCCAGTGATACCGTTAAATAATTTAGGAAAGGATGAATAATAATTAACTAACATTCAATAAGAATTATTTAACCACTAAAAGGAAAAAGAAGAAGAAGAAGAACTAACTTTGAGAAAAAACACATGGCACTATTAGTTACATGGGCCTAAATTGCAAACATTTATGAGACCTTTCTCAAATCAAACACTGTTTATGTATTTTACTGTTAAGACACAAATGTTATACCTTTCAGAAAGAAAATAGTATTACAACAGTAACATCAGTTCAAAATTATCATATATAATTTACATAATAATAAATTCTACCATAGCCAATCATGACCTTTCTTACGAATACTAACCTCTGTTATGAAACCCCTTGAAAATGGTAACAAATTCTCACAAACAAGATACTTACCAGAGAGATAGAAGAGCTTGTCATAACATATCACTGACTGGCCCAATTCTTCAACAGAGTTTGCACTGTCAACAGTGTCTTTGAAGCATCCTCAGGAACCTGATACAGCCTCATCACATGACTCTCCCATGGACATATGACAACTGGGTGTGTATTGACAAAAATATTTCAAAGAAACAGCTCGGTCAAATAAATGGTGTAGAACGCAGCTGACGCTGTGCAGGGAGCAGTCTGAAATAACAAGAAACCATGTGTAAAGCTTAATAAACCATTTCTGGTATTCTTCATGGGGCATCCAGTTTTCTTTCTTAACCGTAGACGTCAAGTTTCAGAGTTAATCAGTTCAAGTGGGTAATCAAATAAGAGGAGGCAGCATGCAGATTGTCCCTAATGGCAGGAACTGCTGCTGTCACGCAATCAGAGTAACTTTCAATATGGTATCAATCCCCAATGTTGGAATAATCATCATAATACAGAGCTCTTTCATTTACTACTATCCTATTTTCATGTAATTCGTATTGTTCTATTATTTTTGTGTATTTCTTGTAATTCTTAGCATCAAATACTATAGTCCCATCTATTTTATACAGACTCCTTGACAGAAAATAGCGCCTATAATGGTACAATAAAATGGTGTACTTTGTGCATGTCTGTAAAATAATATTCACATAAATAAATGGATTAATTATGCTTTAATAAAGATCAAATTCTACTCAAGTAATTTAGAACACTGACAAATAATGAAATAAAGAACAAACAGATCCTAGTCTTACTATTATTATTTATAAATAAAGAACAAGAATTTGTAGGGAACGCACTTGGCAATTGCATTACGAGCTATAGTTAAAATGCACAAAAACTGAATGTTTGAAACGTTTTAACTGCATTAAATTCAGTGTTCATGACAAACATTACAGTACCATTGTGTGATGGAATGCAATAGCTCAGTCGTAAAGCAATTGTCTGTAACAAAGCGGTCTGAGTTCCAGTCCATGTGCAGACACTGATTTTCTCCCACAAAGAGAACTCCTTTCCAATTTAATTACCAGAAGACAGAACTAGATCCAGTTTCCGAAACGTGTTTGGATGAAAGCAAGACGACACATAATGCCTATAATAACATGATATAATCATATTTATTGCAGACAGCTTGTTTGTTAAGCAAATGAACATATATCTAGTGGAAAAGATTATAAAATAGGTCACAGCTCAACATAAATCCTGTGTTAAATATGTTGCTAGGGTCAGTGAAAATATAAAATAACCCATGCCCAACACTACGACAGATTGCATAACCGAATATTTCAACAGAAGGGGGAATAATCAAATTTATATCACAATAATTATCTGCTGTGTATGTGCCAATGAATTTATTTCAATATAAATCCAATTTCAAGCCGATTTAATCAGTGTGCGTGGGTGGAGTTAATGCCCTCAATTTTTGACCCAGTCGGCCGGGGCATTTTTACGAGCCTTACTAACAGAGGAATCGGTAGCGGAGAAGGTTGTTTTTGGCTTTTTTAGAACTCTTGGTTTCATCAAATCTGAAAACTCGCAACGTCAATGGTTAGAAATTTGTATAGCTATCAGACGCTGTCACCAAAATCATGACACAAAAATATTTTTTTCGGAAAATCTAATTTCAGTAAAAAGATACTTTAGACAAAAGCTGCTGCTCAAGCTGCACAATTTTCAGTATTAATTCGGGATTAAAACAAGAAAAGAGAAATTGTATGGAGCTGAGTCCTGAACTCTGCACAGACAAGAGGCGAGACAAATACAGTAGCTGAATACGAACTGATCGATACAAAATACAACACAGACATTGGAATATTTATTCTCCGCACAAAATTTAATGAATACCGAACAAATTGATCATAACACGAAGTAGAATGTGTTAAGAAGGAACGTACAGTGCTGCTCCAGGGGAACAAGACCGCCGGGCTATCCGACCAAGAGAACGGCCAGTTCGAAAATTACATCGAATGAAGCAGGAACAGGCCAACAGACTTGACAAAAGTAGATGATAATACTGATAATGTTAAACACGAAATTGTACCTAAATCCAAAGGTGAAGGTCACGCCTCATTGGGCTGTTATATAAGCCGAAACTGAGATGATCTGTCAAGAAACAGGACTACAGTTTTTTTCTTCTATCTGATGTCCTTGAGAAGCAATAAATAATTGGATGAAAGAGTTTATTCAAGATGACGTAAATTCTATGAGGGCTTAACCCTGGGATATCGTCCTGAAATACGAGCAGTGTGAAGTGTTTGTGCAAACATTTTAAATTATGGTTCATCAGGTTGGGCGTTGCCCCTGTGGCTGCCATCGACATCAAAAACACTCTCGTTATTTAGGTAGGAAAAACCGATCATGTGAAAAATTAACTCACCAATAAACGAACAAATTAACATTTAAATAAGTGAACGCAGCTTGCAACGTAAGGAAACGTAAGCTGTCACTGAATCGGGGACAGTATTTTACTGTTCGACTGATATTTAAAAGTTTTAGCCACTCACGATGATCAATGTCTGAACTGTGAGATGAGTCAGTACCAAGGATAATAAAATAACGCTCAGAAAAGTGTAAATTAGCTCATTCCTACAAATACAACCACAGTATCTGTCGGAAATGAGTGACACAGACAAGACACAATTCACGGTTTTCAGTAGCCTGAGGGCAAGTGTAGCATGATCAAAGTGAAATAAATATGTTATTTTTAACCTATTATATGGATACTTTGACCTGTTCCAATTCAGAATTCATCTTCAAAGAATGAGTTCTTTTAAACATTGGGTACAACACCGAACCCACCCCAGACAGGGCGACCAACATGATCGGATTTGTTGTTAAGAAGGGTCTTTTTTTCACGGCGACTTCTTTGAAAATATATTTTCCACTGCGCAGATTAATTTATAGATGTCACGGCGACTTCTTTGAAAATATATTTCCCACTGCGCAGATTAATTTAAAGATAAAGTTAATGCACTTGCTCAATACAGTTTGTATTCACTAATCCGTCATTCATTGGAAGTACCTCCTCTCTTTGCTGACAGTTACCACCTTCCTGCTTTCCATATTAAGTTTCTTCTAAGGCCGATTATTTGAGACCTATCCATCAACATTCTGACAGCTTCATAACCCAAGAACAGTCAAATCTACAAACAAGTTTACAAAAGGCAGTAAGTAGAACAGTCTTTACAAGGTCGCTGTCTATATGCAGTAAGGAACATTGGGTCTAGTGAAATGGTGTTAATAAAATTTAATATTGATTAAATGCGTAGATTAACTTCATGATGAGGACCTTCATAATTTATATTCTTCTAGAAATATTCCGTCTATTAGGGAAATTAAGCAAACGAGGACAAGACGGACACAAATCGTATAATTAAAACTTAAAATAAAGATAACACTTGAAAAACCTAGGCATAAATGAGGTAATATTAAAATGGATCTGAAAGAAATACGATAAGAGGGCGTGGATTGGATTCAGGCTGCTATGAATAAATTAGCCTTCAGGTTCCACACACACACACACACACACAAAATACCAGCTGACGACTTTCAACTTCTCAGAGAAATTCAGCTCCCTGGAGTTTGTTGTGTTCCCTCCAGCCTTCCAGAGTAAAAACGCCCGTAAGAACAACACTGTAAAAGAGTGGTTCTGCTTTTGGATTACACTAACATTCACGCCACATCACGGAGGTCGTTGTTGCATTAATGCGATTCGAGACCACTGTTGCACCTTGGGACACTCTAGTACAAATACGATTCCAACAGCGGGATTTAAGGCCGTACTGTAGCGAGAACGAGACAGACAGACAGACAGACCGACAAAGACGGGTCCATAACGTGTTTTTCGCTCACGCCAGAGCGTGAAGGACACCAGACATTCGGTTTGTGGTGTGTTAGAACTCGGGCCTTCTAGACGCAGTTGTTGAGTATCCAAGGCTTACTGTGTTAGAACTCGGGCCTTCTAGACGCCGTTGTTGAGTATCCAAGGTTTATTGCATGATGTCATAACATGGCAGTCTAATGCACGATGAGAATAAGAAATTCCCTTTCAACTGAATTCTAAGTAGGCTATACAGCAGCTACTCTGCTTTAAAGGTTGGCCTGATTAATCTTCGTGTCAAGGTTGTAAAAGTCATGTAAACATTATTGATATCCCGTATCAGTTTCTGTTTTGACAGGATTGTTTTCTTCGTACGCAGCATCTGTGTGACGACACAGTCTGAATTCGATCCTATAAAGACTGCCACTTCCCAGTCCGCAACCGTACTACATTCTCCGACAGGTCTCAAGGAACACACGACAGGCAACACCAGGTAAAGCACTCAAAACTGCACATCACATCATTCTCAGATATATTTAGATGTTACTTGTATTTAATTGAGACACTTTGAATTCAACAGCAACTCATACATGAAAGGCCGCCATTGTTAATATTTGCATTCCGGTATTTTCTCGGTTGTAAGATCCTTCATTTAGTAACAGGTTTTCGGAAAAGGAACTGAAGTCTCCCGATAGGTTTGCGTAGAAATCATTAAAATGTATCGTTATTTACATTGACTGCCACAGTATCTACATGTCGGACAACTCAATTTTTCCAATTTTCCTACGTGTCAGTTCACGGCATCAATACACGCGAAGTTCCGCGTACTACATTGTAAGATAAAGAGTCATTTTCACTTCTTGGTATATTTAACGAACCCATTAATCTAAAGAAATTTCAAGGTTATGCTGTAAACGATAAATCTGCTTCTCGAAGTTTCATAAAAACCTACTACAAATAAGCACCCTTAAGACCCAAGCAAAGATGGGAGGATAATTTAAACCAGGCCCAGACCCGGGCCCGTGCAGACTTCTACCAAGAGCCACAGGTGTTTACCGTTTTCAATTAAATCCGTATTTCAGAAACGTGAAGAATGGACATCAAGGGGAAGACTGCCCTGGTTACCGGCGCCGCTACTGGTATCGGCCTGGAGTACGTCAAGGAGCTCCTTAGGAATGGTGCGCAGGTGAGCCACACGGCCGTCACAGCACACGGGTCTGCCCGCAAGCTAGTGGCGTAAGCGAAGCGCAGTTTGGTCGCGGGTACTGAGACTCATTAATTATATCTGGAACTTGTTATTGCAGAATGTGGCTGTCCTCGATTTTGACGCTCGAAAGGGAGAAAATGCTGTCAAGGAACTGAAGAAAGAGTACGGATCAGGCCGAGTTATATTCATCAAGACTGACGTCACAAATGCAACCGAACTGGAAGGTAATGTTGTAATTATATGAATGCTAGGTCCTATCAGTCCTACTTACATGAATCTATTGTCACGTCAAGTGAAACGTCATTCTCTCTATGCATGTATATATGCATGTACACAAATACACATGTATATACAGGCCTGCGTTCTATATATAATTTCTGCTGACCTTACAATAGACAGCAGAACTTAAATGCCAGTATGTGTCATGACTTCTTGTTACGCATGTTGCAGAGGGATTCAAGAAAACGTACGAAACGTTTAAGGCTTTGGACATCGTCATTAACAACGCCGGTATTCTGGACGATGGCAGATGGGAACTTGAGATAGCCATCAACGTAGTAAGTATCCGGCAACACACAGACTTAATACTAACAAGACCTGACGTCACTTTCTGCTATTGTCCTAGGACGAGCACATGCATAAAAGTTAGTTTCATTTTCTGTAAATAAGCTTATTAACATGAAGATCACACCTGCCCGTCTGATACTATGCATTTTTATAACAGCTTCTGTACTTGTGATGAAATCTTAATAGAAATCGGAACAAAGGACAAGCTACAACAGCTCACGTGGTCTCCATATTTTGCAATTCTTCCGCCATACCGGCAAGATAGCTTAATATGAAATCTGAGACTCGTAAATCACTTAATTCCTCTTGGAACTACAATTTTGTTTAAAAGTGAAAAGAAACTGAATATATGTAAGCGCAGTACCTCCAAACAGATCCTTTAAGTTTAAAACATAAGGTGTTTAGTCTAGGACTAGCCGAATGTCTCCGTTCTCATTCAGTTTATTCTATGGAAAAAAGTGCCCATGAAGGCATGCCTTACCTGTCTGACATCTACAAGGATTTCGACAATAAAGTGTCATCATCTGAAACGTCTGTCAATTTATGCCAAACTACATGGCGAAACATCCCAGAAGACAGCCACCTTCGAAATATGCACTAATTACATCCTCAACATATTATTCATTGCTCACAGATAACAAAGATTTGGTTCGCGGACCAGAGGTCCCCATGAGCTGTATAGTTTGCTTGTTCCAGAATGCCGTTGTGCGGGGCACATTACTAGGGTTCCAGTACATGGGGAAGGACAAAGGGGGCAAAGGTGGCATAGTGGTCAACATAGCGTCTATCTTAGGCCTGGCAGCAATTGCAGGCTGTCCCGTTTACACCGCCACAAAGCACGCAGTTGTCGGCATCACCCGTTCTTTAGGCGTAAGTATATCTAAAAACAATGGATAATTGACACTTGAGTTCAAAGAATTTACGAGTCTCTTTTCAGACACAGACCTTCGGCCATAGCCAATGGATAATTGACACTTGAGTTCAAAAAATTTACGAGTCTCTTTCCAGACACAGACCTTCGGCCATAGATTATGATCTTCGAACTCCTATTCTGTCACACTTTTATCATATTCAGATAAAGTAATCATGCTGTAAATACTGTCTTTTGCGCGGGTATAAAATTTGGCCTCTCTCCCCGAAGAAATGACGCAGTTTGACCGCGTTTGAGGAGAACAAGGAACCTAACAACGAGGACGCAACTGTAGATTGAAGAAAACCATATCCTGAAGAGCTTTATATTTGTATTCTTCGCCAAATATTACTAGGGCGACAAAGTCAAGGAAATTGGAATGGGCAGGACATAGACCACTTGCGAAACACATTAGAAATACACACAATATTTTGGTCGACAACTCCTTCGGGAGACGTAGTCCTAGAGGAATTCGATGTGAGGATATGGATTGGAATCAAGTGGTTCAGGATACTGCGCAATTGCGGGCTCTTGTGAACACAGTAATGAACCTTCACGTTCCTTAAAGGTGTGAGGGTACTTACATGAACACAGTAATGAACCTTCAGGTTCCTTAAAGGTGTGAGGGTACTTACTGACCAGCTAAGCGACCATCATATACTCAAGATGTACTCTGTTCCATGGAGTTATCTGCTTTACAATATTGATTTCTGAAGAACGGTTGTGAGTGACAACATATGATTGCACCTTATGTTAGCGGCAACTTCTCCGACGTTACTGTAAAGCGGGCGAGTGTACTCAGAGGTCTACAGGCGGATCACAAACAGACGTTAGTTGAGAAGAGACGATTAGGTGAATAGAAGGTTAAATGTTAGTTTAATGGAACGTCTCTTGAGATTTTCATAGTATGTCTAATAAAGGCTTCCTTTCCTTTCTGTACATAATACAAGTCCATTTATTCACAGAATACAAAATATATATAAATGTAGAAAATATTAGGAAATAACAAAGAAAGATTGAAGTTTCAACTGAATTTGTAATTTTTGTTAATTTCGGACAAATTTGTGGCATAATATGGCGAATTCTTGTAAAGTTAACCTTCTGCCCCTTAAATGCATAAAATTTGCAACATAAACACAGTTATTGTTTTTCATGTCCTTAATTATTATCTACAAGCAATCGGAAGAACATGAATATATTTATTATGCTCCGACTAAGATAAATCACTAAGCGTCTATTTGATACTCGAACCGAGCACTTCCTGAATACAATTCAAATGCATTTCCGCTCAAACTAACTCGCTCAGACAGTAATATTATCTTGAAAGTAAGTACGAGATTATGTTTTAACCGCTGACATAAGCACTGGAAGCTTCACGCTATTAGATCATTATTTGATTGTCTGTAAACCTTTCGTAAGCTACTGACTAAACAATAAATTTGAGGAAATGTTACAAGTTGTCATGGAATTACTGTGAGCTTTTGCGTGGGGCTCTTTCAGTTGCCTTATCACTTCGACCGAACCGGAGTGAGGGTGGTGGCTATATGCCCGGGAGTCACCGACACAAACCTCATTTCTGAGGCTCATAAGCGCCAGTTGTCGGGAGAGTGGGGGCGAGAATGCGGCAGGGAGGTTGATGAACTTCCTAAACAAAGGTGAGTACCTCGAGATACTTCCACTGACTGAAGGAATGACAGCTATCGTTGAGTTGCAACAAAGTTGACTGTCTTTAATACTGTTGTCCCGAACCTCCGAAGTTCCATCAGCATGCAGGATAGCTTTAAGTTGTGGAACATATTTTTACGTAATTTAAATGTCATTTAATAACGTTTTAACTACAAAGGCTGTACAGAGTGTTTCGAAGCTCTAGTGAAATAATTGAGAAAAATATAAGGGAAATATTTTGGACCGGAATATGTTTTTTCATATTCGCCACCGTTTCCGAGTTACGACGTTCTTATGGTGTATATCTTTCATTATTGTGATTACAGATATTTACAAAACGGCAACAATTCATCTTCATGTCAGCTTATGTCGTTGTTTGCAATGAAAGAAAGAAAGAAAGAAAGTGCTGCCCATACGGTATTTTTCAATTATCGATTCAGAGTATATTTTTGAATACTTTTCTGCCCGTGTGGTGGGGACTAGTCAGAATTGCTACAGGTACAACTGTCCCGAGTCTGATAATTGCGTTTAGACTGAAGTGCGGAGACCCGTCAAACGATAACAAAAATACAGAGTGACATCAACGTAAAAATTTCACTCGGAAATGGCGAAGAATAAAAAGACGTACTTACGTTTTCTGATCCAAATTATCTTTCTACCGACTTCCTTAAGCACTGTACAAGAGCCCTGAATCACCTTGCCTTATTTCGAAATATATGGAAAGATATAATGCATTGAGTGTAGACGAGAAAATGCTATCAAATGAGGCAGTTACGGCTTATTTTAATATACTATCTCGACTTTCGCCTGGACAAACTGAGAAATACGAAGCAAAATCTCAGTAAGGTTGGGAGGTATCTGGTTCGATATTCGAAACGGGTATCTCCCAAATACAAATCATCTTCAATGTCAATCGATAGATCACTGCTTCCTACATCCCTACTTTCACGATAAGCCGTGGTCTTCAGGGTTACAGACCAGTGAGAAATGCATTATTTTGTTCGCAGACCTGAGCATGTGGCCAAGGAAATGATGCGCTTGATTAAAAAGGGAGGCAGCGGGTCGCTCTGGGTATGTGAAGGTGGACAGCCAGCGTACGAAATTCATATCCCGGATCGGCAAACTTTGAAGGTCGAGTAGCCTCAACGACGCAACATCGACATTAAGCTGGAAAAGCGAATACGCATAAAGTATATTCTGAGATGGTTGTTTCTGTACATCGTATTGTGAGAAATGGCAATTACATCATGTGAAAATACCTTTAATTATAACAGAAAGTACATCATATCTTCCATAAGAATTTTACACAAAAATTATTCTTGCCGTATGTGCATCAGGCTTGTCACACGTAGTACATGCAGAATCGGAACGCATACTTGCACGGCATTTATATCAAATTATGACATATGTATCGGTGTTTGTTGTTAACCATGTTCAAGAGTAAACATAAGGTATTTTGGTGTTTACTGGAGGGGCTGAACGTTAATGTTAACCGTGCTAGCCCGAAAAATTCCGATCATATGGGATGTTCTGATGAATCATAAATGGGTATATGGCACAAGGAATTAGACTGGAAATCTATTTACGTTTATCACCAACTTGCTTAAATACCAGAGTTATTCTTAAAATAATGAATCATATAATTACTTATTGCTTGTTCCTTATATCTTAAATATATGTAATGCCTGTAGCTGTGTGTATTATATCATTACCCTACGCACGCCTACAACGAACTTCATAAGCAACGAAGAGAATACTAAGACATTTCAACCTCTTAAATTACACACGGAATTTAGTGCACTGCGAGAAAACTACCCTATTCGTAGACCAGGTTTTACTTAAAATAAACTGCACTCACATAATAAAATTACATATTTCTTATATCACATATCTTTAATAAGTTCTTACTTAGTGCAAGCGACGTGATATTGTAACCTCGTGAGTGGCACAAAGGCTACATTATTAGCTCACTGCAAGGAAAACGTTTAATAAATGCGAGAATGCATGTTCTACTATTTTTTATACTTAGTTATGCATGTTTCCTAAACTCTGCTCGGCTAGATGGCCCAACATTAAATGACGGGCCTGTCTAATCAGGTTCTTCATTTTCGTCTGGCAGACAGTCTCCTAAAGCACATAGACATAATCTCTACATCATAATGAACAGTGTACAAAGAATATCCAAGCATCATAAAAATTCATTAACATGCATATTTGCTCGTTTCTCAGCATTGTTTTGTCGCACGTTCATACAGGCCCTACGATAAGCAGATATCCTGCTCAAGGAAACCTGTGAAATATCTAAGGACTCATAATTACAGAATCTGTTTGAAATCGGAACATGCCATTGCCAAGGACCAAGACGGAAGGAAAGCAGAATTCTTACAAACAAATCTATTTTATCTCTGGAGAGGAATAGGTAGATTAAATTGAGCAAAGTCCAACGAACTGGTACGAATGTTAGATTGTGAATTTTGTTTGCTTTATGGCTCGAGCAAAAGGAAACGTACAGTCACCATGATTCAGGCAGAATTATGACAATGAAACTGCACTCAGTTCTTAGAATTTTGTTCCTCAGCTTAGAGGCAGTACCTCAAATTAGGCCACGACCACTTCCTCCCACACCCTTTCCAATTAATTACTCGCTGTCATCCACTCATCTGCCGCTATATATTCTGGATACTGATAGCTTCGTTAAATAAAAAAATAAAAAAAACCAAACAAAGAGAGCAACCTCATATAACGTTTTATGCTTTACCTAGAAATTATACTTCCCTATTATATTTAAAAATATGCTTCTGAAAATTGGGCAAAATAACTTGAGAATATTTATTTTACTCAGCGATTATATGTCAAAGTAAATGTTTAATTTTAAAACAAGATTAGAGGTCATTCAAATCAAATTATCGTCGTTCTTGGGTGTTGTCCTACGTTATCGTATTACGTGTGGGCTTTACCGTGAATTAATCCAAATTCCATGAGCCCAACCCGAAAGAGCAGGAGATCCTAAATCTTCGAAACGTTAAAACTTTGTAATACTTCCAATAAATTTGTATGGACGGGCTTAACTAGGTCGTATAGCAGTTAATTTTCGGTTGAGGCAAATGTAATACAAAATCAAGGCCGGAACTTGCATAACGCGCTGCTCAAAATGCAAAATATACGAAGTGGCTGCCTGGAAGTATACAATGCCTCAAATTTCCAGTGTGCGCTTACAAAGATACCAGGGATCTTATAGCATTAATAACAACACATTCGTGTTCACTAGGAACATAATTACAGGTAAGAACTCCTTCGAATGGGTGGCCCAGTTCAAATATTTGATAACAGTAAAAAAAATCATGCCACGTAAATGTAGAGAGATAGGTACACTAGAGGAACGCTTTATACCATTCAGTTAGAAACGTTTGTTGTTAAGTTTCTATTTAAAATGCTAACAATTAAAAAATACAACTTATGTTCTTTTATAACTGTGGGCTATGACTTTGTGCCTCTCCCTGAGAAAGGAACGTGGACTGAGGGTGTTTCTGAACAGGCTTCGCAGACTAAAATTTGACTTGATTTAAGAGACAGGAAGCAACAGTGGTATAGAGAAATACACAATAATATGCTACACAATTTGTTCTTTTCACCATATATTATTAGCGTGAACAAACAGCATGCAGCAGTCACGGGGAGATGAGAAATGCATACAAAATGTTAATCTGTTAACTTGAAGAAAAGCTGTCACTTGGAAACCAAGGCAAAGATGGGAGGATAATATTAAAGATGATCTCATACAAATATAATGTGAGGGTGTAAACTGCATTCAACTGGCTCAGGAAAAAGTCTGATGGCGGGGAAGATGTCCTGACTTTTGAGTTCTCAGTGTATTAGATGCTACCGTTATTCTTTATTAGCTGTTTAAAAATAACCGTTTGCATAAAAAGTTTCACGTAAAATTACTGAAGACTGCAAATTCAACTTCAACAATTTTGTCATCCCATCAGGGATGGTAGAGGCAGTAAGAACTTCTACAGTACTACACGGCGCAACACCCCAGACGACAGACATGTGCATACTCGCTGCCTTGAGAACCTGATATACCACACATTTTAATGACACCTGAAAGAACAAAGAAGGAGTAAGAGTGCAGATAATTTTTGGTTGTAAGAGACAGGAACTTAATACTGAAACCTCTCATATAGTAACGCAGTTCTCGTCTTAGCGCGCCGAGGTACGTATTCACAAACTACTCTACAGAGACCAACCCATGGCAGTGTAACCATTTATTACATCTACTGTGACAGAAATGCCACTGCTATATTAGTGAACTCCACTCCAAGTCATAGTAATGCCCATTTCATCTGTTATGAAAGAAATGTCATCATCAAAAATTAGTTTAGGTTAGTTTCTAATTTGAATTTTAACTCGCTTGTCGCGAGTAACCTGTCAAAGGCAATTAATAAGAAAATAGGACAAAGACAATCCTCAAACGTCGATAAATTCAAACAATATTTAAATAACAGCTTCAAATTTATTGTGGGATTGAACTTCAAAACTTCCTACACTAAAAACAAGTGAGAGTCATGATGACGAACTCAGAGTCAAGGATAAGATATCATGTAATATAAACACGACTACTGATATAAGAAGCGCAGATGTTTCAACTGGAAGCAGGATCAAGACACATTCAGGACAGCAGGCAGGGAAGTAATCGGCTACAACGTAATTTGCAGTATCATCAATAAACCTTATACGAATTATATAAACTTTCACTAAAAAGTTTACGTGTTAGAACAAGGTATTATATAATATAAGGTTATCCCACATCAAATAAATCGGTGAGTATACCTCAAGAGCCTGAAGATAATCACGAACAAGTACGGAAATAAACGCATAGCGTACAATTATGGCGCGTCAGCTCTGTTATTACGTCTAGATTTGCAATTCGTGAATGCTCAATTTTCATGTTGTCTTAGTAAGTAAAGTGAAACAGAAGAGGCAGACGACCAAACATTTCGAGTATGAAATTCGTACAAAATCAGTCCAACGGTTCTGGAGTTAAGAGATGATAGCATAAAAATAACTTCTGACTAATATTCTCGAAAACCGCGTGACTTACGAAAAGCGTGTGCTGTTCATAAAGTGTGGGTCTCAATTCTTTCTAAAACGTTCTTGTTCAAAACAATTTCCCTTCAATAAATATTTAGCAAGTTAATCCAGAGATGAACGTAGAAACGCGAGTAAGTCACAAAACGTGTCCGCTAATGCTGTTTGATTTCACATAAAATTTTAAAGTGTCAACAAGTTTAAGTTGAAGTCCCCAATCTGTTCAATGGTTCTTGAGTTGTTGCATACTGACAGACAGACAAGGCAAAGGCAACAGACGCATTTTTGCAGCTCAGTTACGAGTATGACTACAACAATTCCCATAACGTCAGAATTAGAACTATTAAATAAGAAAACAGGCTACAGGATTTTCCGCTTACTGGCTTTTAGATTCCACTTCACGTAGTTATTTAGTGAACGAGTATTTAGGGCCTAATATCTTATCGATAAGTGGCGAGTTACGAAACTTCTGAATTTATCTTGTCCTCTGGGTCATTTGGGAAGAGCACAGATCACAAAAAGCAATTTATAAAGGCAAACGAAGAAGATATTTTTCCAATCACAAGATAGTTTTAGTTTTTCATTCATCCTTCATAAAGTAAGACAGTCTGGAGATTGAATAAGCAAGAAGTGAACAAAATTGGATTCGCAAAGGAATACAACACTGCCAGCGCCACTGTCAAGGTAGAATTAATAATATGACCCTTTATATAATTTATTTCTTCATACACAGAATGTACTGTCATCAACATTCTGATGAAAGTGCAAATTTTGGGGCGTGCTTCATGTGTATACGTATTTACTCTTTTCATTTTGGGGCGTGATGCTGACCACTCACCCCATCTAGTGCTGAGGTCAAGAAAGATTAGGAGGTATACCTTCTCTCACCCCTAAACGCCTACATGGCGTATAGTGGGACATTTTTTTACTGTTTTCATTTACTATACATTCAAATGGGCATGACAAAGTCGAGGGTCTCACTCGAGATACGGCTAAATGCAAGTCTTAAAATCCTGAGAACATTAATTATAATTCGAATCTAGAATTGTCATACACTGTACTGAGGTGTTTCTTTTCCGTAGAACATGGACCTGCACGGAAAGGTGGCGCTAGTGACTGGGGCAGCTCACGGCATTGGGTTGGCCACCGCCGAGCAACTGCTGAAGAACGGCGTCAAGGTGAGAATCAGTCACTACAAATAAACACGTGGGAATGAAAAGGGCACACGCCACAAAAAGAAACTTTTATCGAAATGGAAAAATGTTTATTTTAAAGCATACAAATGACAATCAAATTACTTTCAAACTGATAGACACAACAGGATGCTTAAACGCTGCTTTCTTCCGGAGAGTTAAAAAATCGACTACAACGTTCCTCAAGCCGCAGTCAGGAAGATTTATAGATTTAAATTCTGTTACCACAGTTTCTTTATCTGTTATTATTGTCTTTGACATGTACCCTTTTCATTCGTACGCATTCAAATACAGTACATAGCATCCCATTCGCCCGGTTTGTCGTCGTGTCAGCAAATGTTCAACGACGTGTTCTGGAGGTATTGCACATTTTACAGGCCCATCACCAAACAACAGTATTCGAGTAGTATCTCAGTTTTATCGTACATACATACAGATCTAAATAATTTAGAGCTCTAAAAGGGATGAAAAAAACTGCATAATAAAAGCTCCGTTTTGTTCTCTCATGGTGCATGAGATGAGCACGCATGAAGTTGATGAGAAAAGAGTACAACGTTTTGGCTAAAAAAACATTAATGCAAGAAACCACTCGGAATACGTTGGAGCTGCTGGAAGGATAATATTAAATTTATTTTACAGAAATAGGTTTGGAGGATGTAGATTAAATTAATCTGGCAAAGAATAGGCACCGGTGGCGGACTCTTGCGAACACGGTGACGAACCTTTGGGTTCCATAAAATGCTGAGAATTTCTTGATTAGCTGAGCGTACTAGTTTCTCAGTGAAGACTCAGATCCACGCAGTTAGTTAGAAGCTGCATTTATTATGACCACGTATAGCAGTCATACAGTGGAAACGGCAATGCGTGGAATGACGTCAACAGCAAGCAAATCCAGCAAAGATAAGAGCGTCTTGAGAAAAACAAAAGTTTTCCACGGGAACGTAACGAAAAAAATTATAAGCATTATCTACAGATTTGCCATCGTGTTTGCTATTGAAATAAAATGACTGAGATTTTGAAAAACGAACGTGGTGCAAAGAACAAAAGAGTCGGTAATTCTCACAGATCCCTGTTCTGTGAAACGTTACACTTCTCTAAACTAGACATAACATCTTAAACTTTCGCTATCATTCCACCCGCAAGGTGACGGTATTAAAATTGCAGTTTAATGGATATGACAGTGGTATTAGTAAGATATTTAGTCACGTTTTAACTTGAACGTGCCAGATTAATTAAATGTTCCTTTCGCCAGTCCCATGAACACACATAATCTGTGACATTTCTAATAAGAAATATACATTGAAGATTTATGTCTTCTGGGTTGTTGCGCTGTGCAGTCTGGTAGATGTTTACCAACCTTTCAGAGGTCATACTGCCTCCGTCATCAGGGCGATTCATCGACCAGACTACACAGCGCAACAACCCAGAAGACAGAAATCTTCATACTCACCGCTGTGAAAACCTCAAATCATACAAGTGTACATTGATTTTACAGGGTGTGGCAATATGTGACATTGACTACAAAAAGGGAGAGGACGCAGCTGCGTCGGTTATCAAAGAGTACGGAAAAGATCGAGTGATTTTCATCAAGACTGACGTCACCAAGTCGAATGACTTAAAAGGTCTGTTGGGCATTTGTGTGTAGTCAGTCACAGTGTTGTTTGTTGAAACTAGGTCACTTCCCTCTGTACAGACCCATACGCTCACCACGAGCGCGAGCTTCTACTGGCTGCCTAACAACGCCTGGCGGCTGCAGTTGACTAACGACTTATTTTATCTGTTCGGTTCTGCTGTGTTCCAATGTATGGAGCACCACTGAACCACGAAAGTAAGACAGAAGATTTTTTTATTTTTAGGCTTTTCTAAGTGTTAGCCGGGCCGACATGGCTAACACAGCCCTTGGCCTATAAGGAAGGTTGCAAGCCTCCAATCGAATCCCGAACCTCGTGAATACGAGGTGAGAGTGTTAATCACTCAGTCACGACGGGAATTCGGTGGAATGGTAGAATTTTTCACAGATGCCTTTGTACTTAAACCTGTTACGCGAACGTTGTCTTCTGTACAGATAACTCAATAAACGACTGAATTGTACCAGTGGAATGGTAGAATTTCTATACGGAACTACTGTTTGTCGTTCCAGAGGCTTTCAAGGAAACGGAGGAGACATTCGGCACTATCGACATCGTTGTCAACAATGCAGGGATAATCGACGATGATCACTGGGAGACAGAGGTCGAAATAAACGCGGTAAGGAGTTCTTACTCCACTTGATGCAAGAGTGTTACAAATATGTGTCAATATGAATCCATCCATAGTCCATTGTATAGTTGTTAGTGTTAACGTTTTAGCAATGTCTCACCCATCATGTTCTGAGGACTAGAAAAGTGAAATTATTCAATTTTAGCAACAAGTGAAACTAAACACCTCACATGGTTACCCAAAAATATTGAATTAACTACATAAACAAACACATTGTAGCATATTCTATCCCGGCGAAAATGTATGCAAAACATGTCTTTTAAAATGCGTTTGTCCTAGTGTATATCTGAGAAAGCTAATCTAGTTGTAAGTTCAGATTTTAACAACTACAAATACAGGTAGTAATAAATAGTGCCAAAGACACATTCCTTTTGAAAAATTATCCAGTGGGATTTCTTTTAAACAAAAGAAATATAATAATCTGCAAGTAAAATGGCAAATTAACTTCCTAATTATATAACAAAGAACCAAAATCTCAGCCCTCAACACATCAGGGTTTGCTGTATGATTTAAATATGTGAGTGCTACTTTAAATAATGCATTTTAAAAAGTCCACATTGTAATGACAAACCGCAGGTCCTGAACTGTAACCCGTAACTTAAAATATAATTCATACACGTCTCAGTGTAATGCCAAGCTAAAACTTCGTGCTTTACCGAAGAGGTCCGTTTTATATCTTCCCGACATGCGCTAAGGACACGGATAAATTTCATTATAAACTTTTACCAGATCGTGTGCCTTTCTTCGACAAGCTGTAAAACGAATTTGAGTATCGTCTGGATGTCTGCCGCGTAACTAGTGGCAGCCATATTGAACACATGTAAAAAAACTTCAAGTGCTAACAAATGTTCTGCAAGAAACCGCGTTGTGATATTGCTATTCATTTGGTCACAATAAATTTTCAAAGTCGTATACTTCATTCTGTTACTTTCTGTATAGTTTTAATCGGCAACAATACAATCCGCTGCTGTACATCGAATACAATTCGACCTTCCGAACCGTACACCAAATCCTGACTCTTGCTGACTGGTGTAGGTGTCACGACGTGAAAATCAGTGCTACGACTCAAATGTAGCCTGCGAACATATCTGATTTCAGCAGCCTACGTAAATATTTGCTGGATATATGAATACCGAACCAACAGATACATACACGTCAATGGTAGAAGTAATAGTTGCAGAAATGCAGGTTTTATTCTCTAATGAACGTGTAATTATGCTCTGATTTCAGAAAGGAGTCGTTAGAGGCACAGAATTAGCGTTGAAGTACATGGGAAAAGACAGGGGTGGTAAAGGAGGTGCAGTGGTTAACGTGGCTTCTGTGGCCGGTTTGGGTAAAAACAGCGCTTGTCCAGTGTACGATGGAACGAAGAGTTTTGTCGTAGGATACAGTCGGTCTATCTCTGTGAGTTGTAAACACTATTTAACATGTTTATGTTGCGAGGCCATTACACACAAGTACATCGGCAAGCCAGATACAACGGCTCTTCAGCTGAAAACATTATAGGCTAGTCGTACATAGACTGGCAATGTTATTACATACACCACAGCCTATTTAACTTCAGGCCGCATGCATAAAATAAACGTATAATTGCCCCTGAGCCTTGTCTGTCCGTATGTTTGATGTCGAAAACCACTTGACTGAGTTCAATTATCGGGCGAATTTAATTTTGGGTAGTACTAGTCCATTAACACCCTATTAGACATGAAAGAGGAGCCTAACTTATTAATTTTTATTTAACTTAAAACATGACACTTCGTGCAAGAAACGGTTATATTAAATTATATATTTATCTCTAACTAGATATCTCGTGCACACAGTGTAATACTGGGTTACGATTGGTTCTCAGAAGAAACATTATTATTTTTCTAAATTCAACTGCAATGTTTACCGAAACGTTGGGAAACCTTCAGCATTTGAAGTGGATATATCCTGAAAGCCGATGTAAATAAATTAGCCTAAGGACAAGAAACATGATGCTCATGCTCTGCCAAGAATAGTCGCATAGTTCAAATGTTTATATCTGAGAACAGTTTTTTATAATGCACGTGCGTGTTTGCCAGTTTCCGCCGCTGTATAAGAGCCACGGGGTGAGAATACTGTGTATGTGCCCAGGATTTACGGACACCCCTATAGCTGCTGGAGTTCTTGATGCCTACGAGAAGCTGAATTTTGACAAACAGAAAATATTGTCAAATGTTACAATGCAACAGTGAGTAGCCTTGGTATCTAACATACATTACAACAAAATAAGTTAAAACGTTGGTAGTTAGTCGATTTAGGCTGCAGAACATTGATTCTAACTCTGGTTGAAATAAGAACAAGCCTACTGTAGATATGTTGGACAAATATTTGCAGAATGTACACATTGCCGAATATAATACGTGATCTGTGTAAGATTTGAGGTTTTCACAGCAGTGAGTATTTAGATTTCTGTCTTCTGGGTTGTTGCGCTGTGTAGTTTTGTAGATGTTTACCAACGTTTCAGAGGTCATACTACCTCCGTCATCAGGGCGCAACAACCCAGAATACAGAAATCTAAATACGTGATCTTATTAAAAAGTAAACATAAAGAAAAGTAAATTGAAATTTGGCTAACAGACACAAACTTTGAAGAATCAAGATAATTTTAAGAAACGACGATGTTGTCTTTGTGGGTTGTGACGCCGTGTAGACTAGTACGTTTTGGAGAAATATACTGTCGTCAGCTTCAGGGTTAAAACTGAAGCTGAGGAAAGCCTTTTTTGTAAGGTGAAGACGGTATGTTTCTCCGAAACACTGGTATCCACCGACAGCGCCATAAACCAGAATAACATCACCATCTTCACCGCCGTGAAAACCTCAAATCTGTTACGCAGCAGGTACATAAATACACGCTGTGTATCTTTTGCAGACCTGACCATGTAGCAGAGGGCATTGTGCATATTCTACGTGAAGGAGAACCTGGAACTGTGTGGGTCAGCGACAGATGCGAGCCGGTCTATCAGGTCAACTTCCCGGAGCTTGTCAAGCCCTAAGGCTACATCAGCACAACTTCAACACAATGAAAATAAGCCAATTCCCACGCCAAGGATTCCCTCGCGAGTCTGGAACTATTTCGACGAGCGAGTCTTACAAAAATGCCAATGGCTTGTGACAGCCGATGCTAATCCACAAAGCAAATACAGATTCTTTTTACTAATAGTGTTTATTGTGTTCACGGGATGATTCATTGGCCTCAAATAATATGATCTCCGACCATCTAGAAGTTTGTAACACTGATTAATTAACTTATTAGGTCTATGTTGGCCATCTTTAGTGTCTGAGATAGGACTATATTTGCCCAGACACAGACTGACATTATGCCGGTATAATGATAACTAGTCACCTGAAGACGAGGTTAGAGCCAGCCTAAATCGTCGTGTATATGATAAAACCTTAAGTAAGGAATTATTTAACATAATAATGAAGAAGTACAACTATACATTCGTTGTTACCTTGCCTAACTAAAAACCCAGTCACTTAAAACTTCATAATTCAAATACAAGTTTTAGATTACCTAAATGCCTCAGGTTCATTCCAATGTCAATGAGATGAAACTGGAGGTGAGGCTTTATATCATCGATACCTTTCCTCTCACAACTTCCTGACTGGTAAAGCACAATACAATCCTTTCAGAACTACACAAGAAATTTGCCAAGCAACTAATAACGCTGCGTCGTGAAATGTATGAGAGAAATTAAAGTTCAAAATGAATAAAGCATCGACAGTCGGCATCATAATGCTCAAATTAAAGGATTAGAGTTATATCACAAAGGACTAAGTACAAATCAGAACCATCATAATTTAAGCAAATAAATGGAAGAGTAGAGAGTATAAAACGTTAAGGATTGTCATTCAAAGCGCTAATTAACGTAACATCAAAATAACCAATTACTACGCTTAAATATTGAACGGAAAGTTTCAGCGTTTCACACGAAGATAAAAATTCAACCGCAAATGATGTTTTAACATTTTACGCATTACGGACAAGTTAACTCGATTAGAAACACAATATTTTTGAATCAGCTTAAGATACAATTGATATATTAACAGTGAGTGAAAAAGTCTTTCCTGCCATTGTTATCGGTTACAGATAAGCTATCTGTAGCTTTATGCGAAGGTTTCTATAGAAGGTTATATAAAGTAAACAGGAAGGCATTTATGAAAACAAAAACAACGAAAATTATATAATGTATCAGTTTATGACAATATGAGCCACATAACGACACAGCAGTTCAAAACAACAAATGTCGTGGTTTATCAACGAGTCAAATTGAAAAAAAAAGTTTTATTTCGAACAGAGACAGACTTCATACAGAGAAACACAATTTAAATAGAATGATTTTACTTTAAAGATCGTAACGCAGTCCACAGAATACGACGTTTCTGAAGTTTCGGAAAGAACTATTCAATTAATTAATACTATTTTAATAATTAATACTATTTTAATTATCTTATTTTAAATACATTGTAATTTGACGGAATAACCAAATAATTTAATTTTAATTTAATAAATCACAATATGACGCAACTACACTATCTGATAATTAATACTAATAATCGCATATCACTGAAAAGCTTTATGTAAAATGTTGTTAAACATATGGCTTCCATTGTTGACACTTAACATTCAGCCCGCGCATGTTTTTTTTATACCGACCCTCCTGCAAAATAGTTTGATTTTAACTGCACTATATAGTCCTTTGCTAATTTTCATTCATTATAAGATGGTCGTGATGCAGGCCGAAAATAAAAATTGATTGTCCGAAAACATCGAACTCGGGGTTCTAGTAAAACCAACAACAGGAATAGATTACTTGAAAAGTTACTCTGTTGTATACTTCTAAAAGGATAGAAGGGAATGATCCAAAAGAATTCAGGTTCTAAACCACATTCTGCAAAGAACAGAAGGAAGGCAGGAATACGTAAAAAAATTCGACACGTAATATCGAATCCTCACGAACGGAACTAAGTTACACTGGTACAGGGTCTACATAAACAAAAAGTGTAACAACATAACAACACAAGAAAAGAGTAACCCACTTGTGTGCACCAGGGCCATTTATGCACGAAGTCCCTAAACTGCCAAACCAGCACGTGACAATTGGGTTTAATTATTTACGGTTTCGCAATAATTTTGTAAACATCTTATTAGGAATTAGCCTTCTTTTCCACATTTCAAACGTTTGCCTAAATCACTTCCCTCAAATGTCGACTTTTAAAGCGACGACAACAGGTCCACTGACACCCATGACTGCTCTTCAATGAAATACATCAGACATATCTTGTTGTAGTAGCATGAGATCATATTACAAAATAAATAAAACAGAGTTTCAAAAATAGCCTATTATTCTTTATTTTACTCTTTTATAACTGCCTTCATTCACAAAGGAAACGAATCCTCAATTTTAAACTGATTTCCAAATTCTTAAAAATTCTGAAACTTGATGGAAATGAGAGACAAACCCATCTTCGGAGCTGAAAATGGAGGCAGCACATTTCCCCGGAACATTGGTAGCTACACGGGGCAAAAAACCAAGAGAACATAATCATCACCAGCACCGCCGTGAAAGCCTCAGATCTCATACAGTATCACATTGCCCAAAGGGACTGACGGTCTAATGATACAAAGAATCTGGGGATAGTCGGCGTCGACCAAGAACCGAACCCGGAACGCAACGAATGCAAAGCAGAAGAATTTACTTGTTAAGATTGTGCGGTAGGTTACAGATCATTGTCAGTCGTTCCCTTTGTTGACCAATCAGATACAAGAATGTAACATTGCCGTCTTTATTTGCAGCCACATAACCTTCACTTTTCCTCTTTAGCCTTCAAATTATTTTCAAGAACACAGATATATTGACCCCTACGAGTGGAAAAATGCAAGAACTTGGTCACTATCTACAAAAGGTCACAAGGCAGAAAATATTATCGAAGCAAAAATGCGTACCGAAGTAATGTCCTCTATACAAACAGCTATTCAAGGCTGCCACATGGAAAGAATCTACAAGAAATAATAAAGTACAAAGCAGTAAAGCAATTGAATTTCCATTTCAGAATACGTCTTTTGAAATTTTACACACGCTTTCTCCATGGAGACAATTTACATAGACCTACTTTGAAGGACATGAGGTTCTTCAACCCAGAAGACAACAATCCATAGACCTAATTTCTTTGAAAATGCAAGAGTTCACTTACGACCATTTGCATTTTTTAGCATCAAAGCTGATACTGTATTCCGATGTAAAAAAGTTGTGAGTGTTTTAAAACTGTCATAAACTAATGCGTTCAAAATCAGTTACAAATAATAAAACGTAATTTATATCACAGAATACCAAACCACAAACTAGCCCGCAAAGGGCTTAGTATTTTCCGTTATGGCCCGTGCTCTAAAACGTTGAACATCCCCGGTGACAAGTACCAAGCACTCACATATTTCGGAGTTTTTTCTCAGCCTTTCTGATGCTGTTGACACCCTATTCTCTAAGCATTCTGATACCGCGGACCCCTCGGGGTCCGCGGAACTCGTATTGAGAAACACTGCCACAGTTGCCACAAGCCGATGCATCTACGAATCTTTGTATAACAAGTCAATTAATTTTTATTCGTGTGCTGGACAATATCTAAAGAGGTCAACTGTAACCAAGAACTAGAAACAACAATACCAGCAACAAAACTTAATACGAAGCTTGCAAATCACCAAATACGTGTACAAGCATTTATCGCCTTATTGTTGCTAATAACGTAAAACAATGGGCTTCAAGGTGCAATTTTATTCATCTATCGCATTCTAGGTACTGAGTATCTAACTTCGGTGTTATTACAATTCTGTAGTATGATCAGGTGAAATTATACAAACAACAACTGGTCTACACGCGTCATTAATTTCGAGGCCGATATCTTTATAACCGTAAAGACAAAATTTATGTGTCAAGTTTGTCTTCGGTGCCTCACACGACAATAATACAAAATACGATCACGTGTCACGTTTTCCCCTCCACTGCTTCACTGTCATCTATGGCTGCTCTATCTCTTCCAGACAGGGCGTATCTGTCTGCACTTATTCAGGACATGAAAGTAAATGTTGATTCCTATGGTTATTTATAGACGTCAGACGAACTGAAGAGTTGCCTACATACAGGGGCTGATGAGAAATGGTCTGATGTTTCGAACGGAGACATTCAATGCGTGGAAGTACGTAAGCCGTCAAAATTTTTGTCTCCCGGGATTCAGCAAGCACTGCCTGAGGGGTGCGTAAGTTCAGTAGATATTTCTCTTTTATTTTTTATTCAGTGTGCCTGCACGCTTTCCTTCATCATAGTTTTCACTTCCACACTGCAGCAAAGAACATAAAAACCTATCTACCTACTCTATTTATTAAAATCTAAGAGATAATTTTCAGGACAGGATCTGCAGTACTAGACACACTGAAAAACAGTTATCAATAAACTACCAGCTTCAGCCTTGACAGACAGAGGACTAAGAGATTTCTAACTGGATCTGAACCAAGGACCTCTCGGATTGGTATCAGCCACATTTCTGCTGTACTAAATTTCTGCCCGCCCCCCCACATATTTCTCTGCGAGTAGTCTATACATGACAGTATTTTGTAGTTAAAAGCAAATTAGTAACTGCGGGGAGACCTTCATAATTATTATTCTGAATGCCAGATGAAATCTTTCATCTACAACAGCAGAATCACTCTTCTCCTTCTTGAGTCCAATGAATGCAACACATATCTGAAGAGCTCACTATTCACAGGGAAAACAGATCTCGTTATCAGCTGTTTTATTAGTTTCAAGTTCCCTTAAGAAATGCTCACATCTTCGACCACCTCCTAGTCCAATTCATCTCGGTTCTAAAACAAACTGGCATAGCAACATCAACTGAAGAAAATCGGAAGAAT